AAACCCGGAGATGGAGTCCTGAAAGGCGGATAACATTGATACAATGAAACATTCCGACGTCCCTGGTGCCAAGCAGTATCATCCAATGATGTTCCCTTGGGTTATCCAGTGGCGTGGAGAGAGGCGATCTGCTGTTGGGAATCACCTAATAATCCTTGAACTTTATTCCCATCCATGTGGATTTCGTCCTCCGAAGCCCACTCCATCGTCACATTGTGACAGACGGATGTCAGCAGTCCATTTGACTTATTAGTCCCATGTCAATTATCATATGTTGATGTTTCATTAATTGGAATTGGCAGTTTGATCTCTTAATCAAAGCTGCTGCTATTCCTGTATATGCACATGGCAAGACCAATTCATTTTTACTACGCACATAGTGCATGACTATGTTTTTAAGTAGAGTTTTACTACTTCTGCCAGGAACAAGTTTACAATTCCGTCCCTGAATTTGTCTTAAGCCCGTCTTTGATCCAGGTTGAGCATTTTAAACTTTTCTTTGAATTTGTTATTTTTTCTTTTTCGGTTTCTGGATCGTAACATTTCCCAGATGAAATTGACTCGACATAGTGACCAATTGGTAGTTCTAGACAAAAGACTGCCGATAAAATTAATTTCTGTAAAGTTTCAAATTCAGAGTTTTTCTTCCATCAAGAAACCATCTCTTATTTTCTTCGAGAAGGTTGTCCTTCTAAATGTAAAAAATGCTGCTGCAACCGATGGCAAAATTATGATACAAATAAATGTAAAAAATCGTCCAAGTTGTAGTGGCATTTAATGGGTAGCAGCGTCTGTTAGGCAAGCCTCATTCTGAATCACAATAAGGTACTCCTCTTGCAATTCACTCTTCTTGGAAAGGAAGATGGGAATTCTTAGAAAGTTGTTAAGTCCTTGAAAGATATTGCTCTTCTAACACAGAAGGAGAATTTAAAGGAATTATTTTTCTAGGTAAACATTCTGTCACTTCCAGTGTCATGTCCTCTAAGAAGTGGTTCCCATTTTGAATTTTTGTAATCCCCCTTTGTGTATAGTGTTCGGGAAGTTCAATATATAAATTTTGTCAGATATTGGGTATTTTTCCGATTAAGTTTAAATCAAGACAGATGTTTCTTCTTTTCATTCTTTCTGCTGTTCAGCTTTAATTTCCTTGCCTGATATAAAACATATTATATGCTTTTCCTTAAGGTCAACATTTATTTTTTCCAAATGATCTGTTTAAGGATGCATTTTATATTTCCTGAGACTCCAACACGCTCCAGGTGAACTTTGATATCGGGTAACCAAGAATAACTTATACTTCGTTTCATTTACTAATAGCTCCTTGTTCTGAGGGAACAATGTTGAGCTAAAAAATGTCACAGTCATGCTACGTGTAAACTTGTTTGAAGAGGTATTTAACTCTCGGAATTAAGCTACAAGTCCCTACATTAACGTGGATGTTGTATTTCAAAGGTAGCTATGGGTGTACGGCGCAACCTATCTGTTATCCAATTTTTTCCCCCCAAGTTATCGAAGTTCGCAACATCTCGGCGTTGGTATTTTGGGTAAACATTGACATTGCAGCTGGTCAACCTTTATAGTGTTTTGATTTTTTTTTTCAAAACCAATTCAAACTGTTTGCTTTGGACTTGCAATAGACATAAACAATGTCTTTACTGTGTTTACAAAAAAGTTAAGTTTCCGTCATGAATGGCAAAATGGTATTACATTGAAGCTGGAATACTTTTCCTTGACCATCAACCGTACATAGATCTGTGATCAACACTGAATCCCCATACGGGAAAAGCAAAGGGTAGCATATTGGGTCGAATATTTACCAAATATATCCATCCATTCAGGATGGATATATTTGGTAAATATTCACTTTTTTGAGGATGTATCATCTGCACTGAAAAAAAAAGGCTGCAATTCGGTGACCCCAAATTTGGCAACGTGATGGGGTGTGTCTTAATTACAAATTGTTTCCCTTGACTTTGTACTCAGCTAAATACAGTCTATAGAATTAGAATCCTTTAGAACGTACAAGACGGGTCGAGGCACGGATACTATATAAATACGCCTATCGACAGAATTAGAGAGAGATAGAGATATATATATATATATTGGCTCTTACAATACAAGACGAGAGAATATGGTGTTATCATCTGGGACCCACACCTTAAACAAGACATGGACGCGATGGAGCGAATTCAACGTAAAGCGGTGCGTTTTATCGCTCGAGACTACAAATCCACCACTCCTGGCTTCGTCACTGGCCTCTTAAAAAGATAAGACATCCTACCCCTTAAAGACAGACGAGAGGGACTCCGCTTGATATTCTTATATAAAGTGATCATGGGACTGTGCCGGCCATCCCAGTAGGCACGTACCTCACCTCACAGAAGCCGGGTAGACTGATCAGAGCAAAACGCTCACTGAAAACTTACTTCACCACTGACATTCCCATAACCAATTACACCAGAAACAATAGCAAATGCTTAAAAGTGTCTCAGTGCAACACAGTGCAGTATCAACAATCTTTCTTCCCACGCACAATAATAGCAATGGAACCACCTCAACGATGCCACTGTGAACTCGACATCGGACGCTAGCTTCAAGGCAGCCCTGGCATCAGCCAGGGGCTGTTAGAATAGCAACATCCTATCCTCAACCGTTGCAAAGATACCAGTACATGGATGCAGCAACGAAACATTACCAGAACAAGTACCAGAACCAGATTAGCTGATAGAGAGTTTTGCAATTACGATATACGAGACGAAAATTTGCATATTAATATTTATTTATTCTCCCTGTGAGTATGTAGCCTTTTCAACATTGTGCCGGTACAAGTTCATTGCTGAACTGTAAGTTAATAGCCTTAATTTTATTCTATTAGATTTTTCTATTGTAAAGTTAACTTAATAAATTATTATTTGTAATTAGCCCTAGTTAGGGTAAGGTTTCTTCATTATTTTATATAATTAATGGTATCGCTATATACAGCATTATACGTGTCATTAAGTAAGATAAAAAGATTGAAATCCCTACAGATTAGCGGTACTTAACAATCATATATATATATANATATATATTTTGATGCATTAGGTAAATATCTTATATCATTAGTGACACTTTTGCATAGAAAATTATGTATTTTAAAATTTAATTTATAGGCCTATATTTTGGAAGGTAGGACATTAGTTTCAAACGCTTGGTTGAACTTAGATATGATGGAATCTTAAAAGAAATACCAAGGCTTTGATGACATCTAAAGGCAGCTGATCATGAATTGGACAAAATCATGGACGGACCAGTATTTGGTGTTTTGAAATTCATAGCTGAATGGGACCTTCTAAAATCTCTTCCAAAACTGTCGCTATGCCTTCAACTTTTTCTTACGATCTGTGTGTCTCTGGCTTCATGTGAGCGGAGCTGTTCAAAGAACTACGATCCACCACGAGACAGTCAAGGCTTTCTGATCTGGCTCTGTTATCAATTAAAATTGTTACGAGGAAGGATATTGATTTTAAACAAGTGATTGACAGGTTGCAGCTTTGAAGTCCAGAAAAGGACAATTTTCAAGTACATTTCTGTAAAAAAAATAACTATAACTTAACGTTGTTACAGTCTTAAATACATTTATCCTTAATTAATTTGTGTTTGCTCTTGTCATTGTTATACTGTGGACTAATTTTAACAAGAAGAAATCTATCGTGAATGTCAGGGGGGGGGGGTTGATACCATGAGTTTACCTCACCGGGTAATACCAACCCTAGTAACATCACTGGAGAGGGGGGGTTATAAAAGTTTGACATAGTTACTTAGTGGGAGCGGAGTCATAAAAATTTTGACTGTTGTTTACAAAGGGGTGGAGTCAAGAAGTGCGTAAAAATTGTTTACGTAATTAATGGACACCCCCTTATGTTCCTTAACATTTGTAAGGTACTTGTAATGAGCATTTCTTAGTATTTTCTGGTCGTATCAGGCCGCTTCAGAAGTAAAACCTATTTTTATACAAACTTTTGCTGTAAACCCACAGGGAGAACATTTGTAGATTATAGGAGGACATAGAATAGCATCTGGAACAGTGGCAGAGGATAAGAAGTTCTCCGGCCATCTTTTTTTTCTCTTCAAATGGGCAGACACCATTTTTAACTAAGTGTTTTTCGTGACAGTGAGTGGCCAAAAATAAAAAAAAAAAGATGGGGGGGGGGGGGGGGGGGGGGGGGGGAAGAGGAGAGAGGAAAGTTACTTACCTGAGCCAAAGCTCTGGGATATAGGAAATACAAATGTTTCAAAAACAAAAAAAGTGGGATAATGTTAAAGCATGATTTTTTTAAAGTTAACCACTTTAATTATTTTTTAAAATATATACTGCAATACGAAGATATCAATTTTATTGTACATGATATCCTACAATTGTGAATCTTGTAGCTAAGAAAAAATGCAACAAATTCCAATTTAAATCTTCTTTAAGGCAGCATGAAGGTCTCTTTTTTTTCTCTACCCACTAATTTGCGTGTTTTGTGGGTTTGGGGCATTTGGGGCAAATTGGTGCTGGGTGGCCGAGCGGTCTAAACTGTCTCAAACCAAATAGCAGGTGGTCTGGAGTTCAATACCCACCAAAGCCAACATCCCAAGCACCCCGGGTGGATGGGACTCGTTAGTCTTGGACGGCAACCCATCTAAGAGAAGGCAAACTCTGAATTTAAACCAGGAGCCAGAATGATCAACAAATTGATCGTGGGCCCCTCAAATATAAGAAGAGAAGAAGATAACATTATGTGATCAGGTGGGGCTTACACAAATGGCTTACCTGTGCTATGGATACACATGTGAAATTGTTATATGGGTTGGTCAGGCAAACAAGAAAAACTCAAATTTGTCCAAAGTTTTTTCTGCCAGTTGCTGAAGATACTGTATAATAGGAAATGTAGATCGATTTTCATTTTGAAAATTCTTAACATTTGAATCGAACATTTTAATAAATATTAAAAAAATCCCAGCAAATTGAGCGTGAGTACTGTAATAAGTTTTATTTTATCTTTTACACGATCGCTAGAACATTAATAAAGTGATCGTAAATCCATAATGAAAGAAAACATTGACTAATCTGTAATCGAATGCATGATAAAGTTTCAGAAAATATAGGACTAAATTTATGTTACAAATTAAGGTTCATGTAGACTGATCCACTGAAAAAAAATTCAGTGACAATTTGGTAGATCAATTCAGTTCAGCAGATAATTTTTTAAGTGTTACGTTTTTCATAAAGGAATTTCTACTTTTAAAAAATAATGTATTTTCAACTTGTAGGATACACAAATGATGGAAAAAGAGAGCATTTCTTCTTACACTGTTGCTTATATTTATAAAATCATGTTTAGTTAACGTTTAAATAAAATTAATCAACACTCTAAAAGATTTACTAAAAAATTATTCATAAGAAATTTAAGTCAGCGGCCCGAGCTGAGGCTCCTATGGGCCCCCGGGAGCCAAATTACCCAGAATATCTCACCCAGCTTCTTTTTTTTTACAGAGGGGAAAAGCCACAAAGTGGGCTCCCACCGGGATGTTTCGCCCTAATGGAAAATCACCAGGCCACCCCAGGAATGCCAAAGGGAAGACTTCCTTAAAATTGACCTTACATGTGTGAATTTCCTACTGCTAATTACTATGACTTACCTCACCAACCCTGGGACAAAATATGATGGGGGCTTACTTAATTCATCTGATTAGTTATTGATATATTTATTAAGACTATCTAATAAGACTGACAATGAAAAATCCAAATGATGAAAATAATTAATGCAGAAAAACGGAAACTCAGTACTATATTGTTGATGCATTAAATTTTTAAAAAAAGTTTATTTTTATATTTCCTCCATTTTTTTAATAAGACAAAATATTGATACGATTGCAACAAATTTTGACACAGCTCAGCTGCTATACTCAAGTTAATCAAGTTGATTTAATAAAAAAAATGTATTTTAATGCAAAATAAAATGATCCTAATCTAAAAGTTATGTGAAATATACATCATAGTTGTGCATTTCAAGTTTTGAATAATTCTGATGATCACATAAAACAAACAATCGTGACATGATATTAATAATGTATTCATCGTTAGGTTAGGCAATGTTATTTAAAAAAGGATAATTTTTACCTTGGTAACAAGCTTAACGGAAAATATATCTTGGTGTGGTCTGCCATAAAGAAAACAAGTTATAAAAAAAAAAGTACCTTTAACTTTTAAAGTGTTTTTTAAAAATCGTTTTCTCGACTTATTAAAAAAATCATAAAAATCTGTAGTGTAATTTATTATTAATAGTTCTAAAGTTAAAAAAAAAAAAACATTTTCAAAGACATACCATCCCAACATGTAGAACAATTTATAGATTTGGATTAGCAGAGATGATAAATTTTGATCTGAACAACGCAAGGATGACTACAAAAAGTAATTGCTATTATCATGTCTGTAGACTCACAGTTAAATGCCATAGATTGCTAAATGCCCATTCAAAGTGTTATTAAATAATTTATGTACACAGTTTTATTTATATATTTATTTAGCATATTATGCATTTTTCTCAGTGTTAGCAAAAGACAAAGTCTCAAGTGAAAATGAAAGATATCTTATCATGAGAATTTATTTTGCAGCACTCAACCTCTGCTCTAGAATTTGTGCTCATAAACGACTTCCCCAATAAAAAAATCACAAACTTATATAACTTTAAAGGAAAACTGATATTTTGTCTTAAATTACCTGTTTGGATGAATGGATTTAGATCAGTGTCAGTATCCTATGGGAAATTAGTGTTCTTGGGGGAAGCTTTTCGTTAAATGAAAAGAATCAAATAAAAATGCCAACTTTGAAAGCATGCTAGATCACAAAAACATAGATAATTATTAATTCTAAGGGGGGGTATTATTATTTTTTTTAAATTGAGAACAAGCTGAGGTTCCCAAGTTATTACCCAAATGTATTAAGACTTATTACATTTTTATTGTTTATAAATCGGAAATATAAAACAAAGGAGTTTATACTCTACATCTGCAAAAACATATTACAAATATATTTAAAAGGTTATCAGTTGTTAACAGTGGATCAAGTGCTTGCATTTGGGTGTATAGACATGTTCTGGTGTGGGTGAAATGTCTTGCTTATTTTAACTTAAAATTTCTATATGATAGTTGCAATTAGAGTTTAACAATCATTATTCAAATAAAATTCAAATGTAAAATAAGTAATCAGCTGGTACTGGCCAATTAAAATATTGCGACATTTACACAGCTGTCAAATTTGACATAGTGTAACGTTGATGTCAAATCACTTTTTAAAGGACATATTTTGTGACCCAAAGAAGAGATTAAAATTAAAGTGGTTTTAAAAAAAAGGAAACTGGAAAAATTAAACTAACAATTGAATATCTGTATGTTTTTACAAAAACATTCTCATTTGTTTAAGAATAAAGGATAATAAATGAATGCAAACATTATGTAGAAGTTTTCAATGATAATGAAAATAGTTCTTAAACATAAAAGTTGCAACATTGTTCATCCAGTCTTGACTGTTCAGAAAATATTTGTTAAAAAGCATGTAAATCAGATCACAAGTATAACAAAATAAGAATGTAAGTGTAAGAAGATGAAACAAATTGAGAGGATAGGAGAAATAATTTGCCAAAAAATGCATGGGGCAATAGGTAGTGCTTTTGACACATAAAATAATCATATTTGTTTCTTAAAGCAATATCGTCAAGATTTATAATTTCAAGTGTACTATGACTTTAACAAATAGTATACTTGAAATTTAAAAATTAAATGTCTTGACTGCAGCATATTTTCTCTTCAATTTCATATTTTGTACTAAAAAGATAAATTTTGCATTGAACTGCACATTACTGTAATGACTGGTAGAAAAATCAGCTAATTTAAATTCCCTTGGAAATTGTCGCCATCCTTTTGAAATCCTGGAATACCTTGACAGTAATTTTAAAAATAAAATTCCCTAAGCTATTTAAATATGTTTTCGCTGAATTATGCAATTTTCAATGTAAATGAGACACTATTCGTTATTTGTGAAAATTTTCTGTAAAATAGTATTTAAAATAATGATGTTTCACAGAAATAATTCATCCTGCCCATCAAGGACATTACAGAAGTGATTAAAAGTTTAGAAGCAGTGTAAAGCAATTATTATACCCAATGTTTTCTAGGTTAATTCACGTTATAATAAATTTTAATTGGAATTCAGTCTATCCTTGTATTTCTTCTTCTTCTATATTTTGAGGCACATCTAACCTGGAATCTCTGGATAAGCAGAAAGCAGAGAAATGAAAATTCTTTATCTCACTGTTTCTGACAGACCAAGTGACTTTATCAAAAAATTTAATGGAGAAATTCACTTCAGATATAGGATTCAGAGCGATCATTTGAATACCGTATATTCATTTCCATCCAGATATTGCAGGACAACATTTCTAAATGAACATGTCAAACATATGATGCATTTTTCATAAAATCAAGTCTACTCTGAAATATAATTTATCAATCCAAAGACTTGCGATAGTATATAAATATACTTCAAATATCATGCAGAGCAGTTCATTCTTAGCACTCAAACATAATCAATTTTACCATTTAATAAAGGGGGCACTTGAAGAAAAATGTGAACATTGATCATTTAATTTACTTTTTTAATGTCATACCAGATTTATTCAAAGTATATATGCTGAACAATAAGGAAAACTTAAAAGCATTAGGGTTAAAAAAAATTAAGCTAGTGCAAGAATTTGTTTGGTTACTTTTGTTAAACTTTTCTTTAACACAATTCCTTCAGTAAACTGGCTTTTGGAAAGACAAGAATTGGTGGATCAGACCATCTAGTTTCAATTATTTTTAAACATCAGCAAAAAGAAACTTTTTAAAATAAAGAGGATAAGTATGATGCTTATTTTGTTCACACCATCTCAACTCAGCCATGACATAACATGAATCATCTATTTATTATGTGTCTTTAGATGCCACTAAAGCCATCAGTTTAACAGTTTGAAAGGGACAAGGCTGACATCTCCTGAATTTTTCTCAAGTAAAAAACAAAAGATCTTATTTCACTGAGACATTGTTGATCCATCACAACAGTAAATCTGAGACATGGTCTATCAGTGCCAATTGTCCTCTAAGTACAACAAATCCCAAACATCACCATCAACACAAATGAAAATGGGACACTAGTACTCTTCTGCCCAAGGGTTCTCTTCCAGGTATGTATCAATAACTTCTTTCAAGGAGAAGTTTGGAATCAACTGCTCTTGAGTCAGATCTGTGCGGGTCACGGGATCAAAATGACCCACTCTCTGAAATGATAAACAAAATTAAAATACTTGATGTAATGAAAAGCCTAATAAATTAAAAAAATAAAACATTGTCCAAGAGGTATATATTACTTAAGTGTCTGTGTTGTAATTATTGTGGTATAAAATCAAATTTAAAAAAAAAGTTATCCATGAAGAAGAAGACATACTTGAAGGTGTTCAATAATATCTTTTTTGTCATATGTTATGCCACTGGGAGTAATGACTGGCTCTCTCATTATCTCAAAGCTAATCTTGCCACAGAGATAATCAGGCACATCTCTCTTCTGTTAAGAGAATTTTAAGTAGTTAATAATTCATTTAATCAGCCAACATGTAGGTAATTTTGTGTGTATGAAATAATATGTATGGCAACTGCAGTTACTTAAGCCAGGGGTAGACAAACTATGGCCCACGGGCCATGTGTCCCCGCTACTGATAATATGCGGCCCACGAAGGCATTTAGAAATGAAAAAAAACACACTTTATTTTTAAGTTATTTTGTTAAATTTAATTTTACAGAATTTCATGTACTGTTATGATTCTTTTACATTTTGATCAACTTGCATTCTAATTTTCTATTTTTTTTAAACAGTCCATGAATTTTGTCATGTAATTCTAAAATGCGAATTTAAAGATTTTAATACAGAGAAATTTTTATCGATATGTAAAAATTTGACAAAATATACATGTGTGCTCCCCTACCCCCCCCCCCTTTCCAAGCTTTAAATTTGTCAATGTGGCCCTCCTCACAAAAAGTTTGCCCACCCCTGACTTAAGCCAACTTTTAATATGATGGATTGAAGGTTTATTTGTTTTATTTGTATACACTCTGTATGATTTCAACAAGTTACAAATCTGATATTTAAAACAAATATTGATTAGCAGCCCTCTTTAAGTTCTTAAGTACTAACTTTTTAAAATAATCTTTGTAAGAGATTTTGTTTGTCTTTGTACGAAATAGTGACCACCAAAAGTTGTTGTAAGTGAAGATGTCATTTTAAGAATTAAAGACAAGGAATTATTTGTATGGCCATTGGAGTTCAAAATCAAATGCTTAGAGAAGACTGAAGAATTTTATTCTGTATATTTACTGAGCCATGCTCATTACAAATAGTACTATAATTTTTATATGTGAATTTTAAAAAAATTACAAAGACATGTCTTGTATCCAAGAAACCTTAGATTATTAAACATATGTATTACCTTTCTTCTTTCATCTAACTGTGAAAATAAATTATTTACTTCTGATATTCTTTTATCCTGAAAACAAATCAATAACATGTTGGAAATATTATGAAGCTAGAAATATGTATAACTGCTCAAATGCTATGTAAAAACTTTTTAAATTTAAGTATTTGTAACACTTTTGTAGATTTTAAACATATGAATAACATAGTATGTTATATTATATTTGAATAAAATGAACAATTTCTGAGCACTTAATTCAGGCAACGCTAAAAATTTAAATTATATAGGTTTAAATCATTTGAAGCTTAAGGTCTAAGCTCATCAAAATTATTTACAGATTTCTCAATGATTCCTTCCAAATCATCACAGCTGGCCATCCCATCATCTTTCTTTAAAGATTCAATTTGCCTGCAGGTAAAGATAAATGAAATTGTTATATAATAAAAATTTATTAAAAAATACTGGTTTTAGTCTAGATTATGAGAGCTTTCTATTGACATGAAGCTTTTCCATCTTACTTGTCTCAGAATACTGAATGTTGAGGATAGAATATGGTGAGAAATGTTGCACTTAATTTGTATGTTTTGGTGGGGCCTATTAGAACCATGTGGAATGTTTGATATCAAGCGAGTGAGACATTGTCTTTGTTGTTATGGTAAAGTGAGTAGTTAGTGAATGGGATTAGAATATTACCCGGTATCAGGGATATCGTCATGAAACTGTGAACCACAGATGGGAGACTAGTTAATATTCCCTGTAGTTTTGGGAATTTTAAAGACTGGCCAATCAGACTGTTTGATTGGGTCATGTGAGAACAACAAGTTTGAAAGTTGAGCAGCCATGATAAATAACAGAGATTGTAGATCAAGAATTTGAAGTGAAATGATTACAGGAATTGAGATTTAAGTGATGTGATTCAAAGTATATCTTATTGCTGTGCAATCATATATTTCTTCTTTTGGATATTATTGTGAATTAAAATAGTCACTGATTGAACCCAGCAAAGTGTGTACTATTATTTATAACTTAGTATAACAGTGATGAATAGAAATAAGCAAGAGAGCAGAAGCAACGCTCAGAGTAGGATCATTAGTAGAGCAGAATCAGTCTTTGCATTAGTGTCTTTAGTTTGTTTAGAATCCTTGATAGTGAGTCACATTACAGTTAATTGTAATAGATAGCATATGAATATAGAATATTAGATAGAATTAAATATATAGCCTTCAAGAAATTTGTGTTATCTTCATTCTATTCGATGATATTTGTGTGTCAGCCTCAACATATTCACCCCCCCCCCCCCATGCAAATGTACAGAGCAATCAAAGCATGAGTAATTAACGTCATTAACTTGATTTTTTAACAAACAAATAAATACAAACTTCTCTTTATTGTATTAGAAGGATATTTTATAAAATGACATTTCAATCTTTTAATCTAGTTTGAACTAAAATAGTTCCTTTAAAATAAACATACTTAAAATCCCCAATGAAATAGTATAACAAGATACATGGAAGCTTGAATGAAAAGACAATAAGATATAGTTTTGGCTATGAGACTTCCTCAGCAGACAGAGGAAGGCTCTTAGCTGAAACGTTATCATGTTGTCTTTCGATTCAAGCTTTTACATACTTTTTTCTACTATTTCTTTCACATAGCTTGAAAGCAGTCCTTCATTTATTTCATGAAATGACCAACCTTTCTCTGTCTTCTTTGATTAGCCTGTTAATATATGACTGGAGTTCAATCTCCTGTTGAATGCGTTTCTCCTCAATTGTATTCCATCTCCTCTTCTTAGCTACTCTGAGAGCACTTGTAATATCATCACCAAAGTTCAATTTCTGCTCCTTTGCCAGATCATGTGCTTTAAGAAAAAAATGTACCATATCTGTAACACAGAGATTCTCAATCTTTACGTTATAAGCCCCCCTGCTCTCACTCACCAGGTCAGAACAAAAAATAGATACTGGGTATTTGCTTTCTGATCAAAAGAAACCATTTGCTAAGACTTAGGAAGCCTTTTCCAAACTACATTAGTTTTTAAAAAAAGGAAGAAAAAATACATTTTAGTTCTTGCAATTTTGTGCACTCCCAGATCTAAAAATAAACAAAAGTTACATTACCTTTTTTTAAAGCAGCTATTGCTTCATCATACATATTTTGCTCCAAGTATGCTTGGCCCAAAAAGAAATGACCCTTGACCCATGACCTATCAATTTCAAGAGCTCGCTGGCAATCTTGGTGTGCTTTTTCCCACTGCCGAAGCTTCAAATGACACAATGCTCTATTTGTAAAAAAGAGGGCTGTGTTGGGATTTTTTATCTGTTGAAAAAAGTTTGAAGGGCATTACTGGCTGCTTTTCAGCATTCAACACTCCTAAGCAATATAGAATTATCTAAAGTAACACTTACTGGTCAAGACTGCATGCCCTTAAGCTTAGTCAGAATGTGATAATTTTAAAGTTGGCTAGGAAGCATACCAATAATACAGCTGTTTTTATGTCCATTATCATACATTTAAAGCTTGTAGAAATTAAACGTTACAGCTAAAGATAACTGAAAAGGTTTCAATAAATATAACAGATTGTCATAAGGTAAGATACCTTTCCTAAACTAAATCTAAATACTAATGTTACTAATATAAATCATTTGTACAAATATTTTGGTGCAACAGGGATTTGAACCAGCCAGTCAGCAAACTTATCTATGTCTAACTACATGATCCCTGGAGCCAATCCAAAAAATATAAATTAAATGATTCTTATGCTGAAATACTATTGGTGGCAGTTAAGTAAAGCAATCAGGTAGTGCAGTGCTATTTAAGTTAATCTAAACACCAAATTTATTGTTTTATGGGTTGTAATGAGTTTTTCCATTATTATTTAAAAAAGATAGAATGTAAAGGATATAAAACAAGTAAAAATACAATGATGAAGATTTATATATATTTTATTGCACCATAATAAATGTATATCACTACATTTCTTCCAATCTCACTCTAATGTAGGTATTTTAAAACTTTAAAAACTTTATGCAGACCTGTTTACTCTTACGATTTTGGCGTACAACGTACGATTTTGAGGTGTATAGATTGTATATACTGTATGTTTATTTTTTACTATAAATTATAAGTATAACGTATTGAAAGGTTTTTCATGATATTGGACGATTTTAAGAGTCTGAGGGTAAACTGGTCTGTTTATGGTGACAGAACAAATTTAAAGGGTACAAACTGCATATTCTGAAATTCAAAGCTGTTCCAACTAAAAATAGTCTCTCTTCTTTGAATTAAGTTTGATCCATACAATATTTCTTTGCCTACTGTGATTTAATTTTTTTTGTTGATCTAGAAATTTAGAGAAAGTAACATATCTGGTAATAAAAACTTAATATCGGTACTTCAAAATGAACCAAACAAAGTTCAAAATTTCAGCTCTGTAATCTCTAGGATTTCAGGAACCAAGAAAAATATTGTATTTAAGAAGTCAAGTTAAATATAAGGGAGAAAAACATTTTTAGCTCAGTTTAAAGATCAAAATTTTCAGTTTTAATTTAGTTTACTTTTATCACAATGTACATTTTACAGTTTACAGATGATGGTATATTACTTCCATTTACTATTTCACATGTGATAAAATCATGCATGTATGACCATAATTGAACCAGCAAACCCTAAAAAACCAATAACAATTTTAGCCTTAAAACATTAAGTAAATAAAAGCCACATTTCCGTTTCTGATACAGGAAATGTATTTTATTTAGTTTCATAAAAGGTAGTGGGGGCAATATTTTAACTTTTAACATTTGTCCCTTATTACTATATATTTCTTTAGTAATATATTTATCCTACAAATTTGAATCTCAAAGCCTCAAGAGACCGGGAAATTGAAATTCCATCTTCTTGACAGTAGCATCTACTCAATTGCATTTTGGATTTCGCATGCAGCATAGAGACCTCTTAAGGTACTTTGACACAAACTTTAAATATTTTCCGATTGCCATGAATGATAACTCATTTTAAAGGGCTATCTATTCAAATTCATCATTCTATCTTTTATAAAAGTGGAGTTATGATTTTTTTTTTCAAATTTTTTATGCCCCTTACATAATCTATATATTTTACCCCTAAAACATGTGACCCAAATTTCAAATCTCTACACTATTTTGCCCTCAACATTTTTATTTTTAAAGATAATTGCACAAAATTTTCAGGAGACCTTCCCAATCTAATATACAACACAAAGAGCAGCAAAACTTGTACATTACGTCATGCCTTTTTATTTTGGATAATTTTCTTTGAGGGTATGTTAAAAAAAATCATGTACAGAAAAATTGGAAAAATTATTATTTGTAAAACAAAAAAAAAAAAATAACATGTTCATTGTATTTTAATTAAATTTTACGTCATGCCTTTTTATTTTTGATAATTTTCTTTGAGGGTATGTTAAAAAAAATCATGTACAGAAAAATTGGAAAAATTATTATTTGTAAAACAAAAAAAAAAAAAAATAACATGTTCATTGTATTTTAATTAAATATATGATTCAGTTATATTTAAAATAAATTCTTATATTTATAAAAGGTAAGTAGAAATCTTTCTTTAATGTAAAATTGAATGCAAGAACTTATAACTTATAATAAAAATGAGTAAAATCACTCATAAGACAAGACTAATTCAAATATACCAGTCCCAGTAGATTTAATTTTAAAAGGTAATGGGAATGTTCATTTTCTATGTAGACTGCTTGGTCTTGTTGATGAATCCCATGATATCTCCTTCGTAAACTTTGTCTGTGCCTTCTACATGCAAATGTGCCTCATAATCGATGGACAAAATACCACAAAGTTCTCCAATAGAAAATTCAAAAGAAAATATGTACCCTATAACTGACGAAGCATAGCCATAACATTTAATTATAAATATAATCCTGAATGTACACACTATCTATTTTCTTTTTAATATTATTCAATTTTTTAGTTTATTAATTTGATTATTTTGATATATTAAATATTTGTCTATGTAAATTCTTTTTCTATGTCTGTAAAGACACACAGTTTTAATACTGAGTATTAAAATATTCTATTAAATTAAATTAAGATTTAATTAACATTTATAATTAAATACCTAATTAAATTTTAAAAGTGCAGATTTTAATTAGGCTTGGCAAGGCTTGTAAGAGTATTGGTAATTAGGCTTATAATCTTATGCCTAAATAAACTATGGGATTATAATAATACATTTTATTGTTATAACTTATATGTAGGCCTAATTTTAGTGATATAATCCCATTTGATTAGGCATTAATAAGAGAATAACTATCATTATTGATATAATTAACGACGTTACGATTTATTATTCATTCTATTTTTATAAAGAGAAACGATGAAATTGGTACACACAATTTTTTAGCATAATAAAACTACGGTAACACTAATGATGACCCTCTGATTCCCAACTAAACCTTTTCAAGTTCGGTTAAAATGTTTCATTAAATTTTGTACATTTTTAATTTGAAACTACTTAGTATTATTCAGATGTTAAGGATTCAACAATTACGAATCAATTCATAATTGACAGTGATAATAGCCATTTCCAGCATCTTGATCGAAAAAATAATTAACTTTTAATAAGGCAAAATATTCATCACCACCCCAAGCAGCTTGAGAAGCGCATAACTTTTTTAAAAATTATTTGAATTTAATAATATAAGAATGTTTAAACTTGTAAATTGAACATAGTTTTTTTTATCTAGCTCCCAATACTCCCATTTGATTTTTTTCACTAACAAAGGAGTATATTATTAGATATGCCTACCGAATCCTTATGAAAATCCTGTCCATGACACAGAAAATAAATCATTGTGTACATTTCCTAGAATCAAACACAACACAAAAAATATTTCACTGATGAGGAAAGCAAATTATTGAAGATAAAAATGTGGGCAATCCTCCGAAGTCCGGTCCCAAATTATTTCCAATGATTAATCCTTATTTAAAAGTCTTGGGCATCATTCTGTTTTGAAACTCACGTTTGCGTTAGTGAACGATGTTAGATGGAGGTTGTTGGCCGTCCAGATGCACAAACACTCGAGCGCATTATCACTAATCATGTGTTACCAGGAACAACTACCGTCCCAGACGCTTGGCGAGGATATCAAAATGTCGGTCAGCTCAACAACGAGATTTATGCTCACGCTGTCATTGTGCACGAGCGTGAATTTGTTGATCCAGTAGACCAGGAGATTCACACTATTGAAGGACTTTGGATGCAAGCAAAACGTAAACTACGCTATCAGAGTGGTAGGCCCGCTAGTCGCGATCTGTTTGCCAGCTACTTGGGGGCCTTTCAGTGGCGCAACAGTCACCAGCAGAACGTTTTCAGCTGGTATTAGTATTAGCAAATGCTATGCGCCAATGACAACATTTAGTATTTACTGACTGGTTTGTAAAGTTACAGTTATTTACAAAAGCTATGACTGACATATCTGCTGTTTTCTAACAATACACACTGTGCATTGCAGTTTTTTCATACAAAATAATTTGGGACCGGACTTCGGAGGATTGCCAAAATGTGACATAGTATGAAATTTTCCAAAGATAACAAGTTTTTTCAACATTTTAGGACATGCGCAGAACAAGGGATTTCACAGTACCTAATTCCTCTTAGTAGTAGTAGGTACTTGGATAAATCATTTTTCTGCTAGTAACAAATCAATACAGGGTTGCTCCCCTCCACAGAAAATTATTTTATTATTTTTGCCTTAATGGTTAATGGGGGCGGGAATTGTAGGCTGGCTATGAAGTCACTAGCTAAGGGTGTGACAACTCTTGTCAAAACCTGTACCATCATTGGCCACCTCTTCTTTTTTTTTGTTTTTCAAAATTTGTCAATATACCAGTACTATACTTCAACAAACTCTTAACACTTACAGTCTTACAACAATAACAAGGGAAATTGGACAGGACTAGGAGGCGAGGGAATGAAAAATGCTTAGGCGGTGACTCAAATTCATGATGGGCATTAAAGATTGGGAATCACTGGCTTATACTTAATTATACCAATTATAAAAGTGTCGGTTTTACTTGTAGAAAGTACAAAATGACTTACTATGGCTTTTGTATAGCAAGCGATTGCGTCGTCATATTTACGAGCAGCGAACAATTTATTGCCTTGATTTCTTAATTCTAAAGCACTCATTTTAAATATTTTGAACCATTTAAGAATACCCAAAAATTATTTCAAATATAATCAAATAAATTTGCATTAGTTGAACAGGTAATCTGCACTTTAATCGATAAATAATAGGTTATGGATAGCCACTAACGATCCTCTTCTAATCACTGTTCACCACTGTTTGGGAGCACCATGTTTACTTCCCATAATGCACATTCACATAGTTATGTGTGACTAGGTACCCAAACACACCGTTTGCGTAAATTAATTTGAAAATAAAGTTATTAAGCATGACACTGACAGTGTTAGTTAATTAATTGTGAGATTCGTTTGCTGCCCTCTCACATACTACTTCTAAGCTAAGTGCTTTTTTAAATTTTAATTTAATTTTTTTGTGTTCGCTGATGAAAGCTTCCTTCAGACACTTTCGTTGTTTTGTTGCGTTCCTTTTTCAGGTTTAACCTACTTTGTTTTACTAATTTCATATTGTGCTAATCTGATTGCAGTCTCTCTCCTTATTTCCTTTTTACAAAAATAATAAATCCCTTTTAATTTTGTAAAAATTTAATTTAACTTTTTTTTTTTCATTGAACCAATGACAGAATCGTGGAGCTTAAAAATAAACTCGTTTACATGTTATATTTAAAAAAAAAAATTAATTAAAAAAAAAAAAATTTATATCATTATCATAACTTAGAAGTTTAATATTAGAAGTTAATTGCGCCTCTGTCTTTATAATATTTATAATCAGATTACGTTTCAATCGATCCCTTGGTAATGCCAATTCAAATACCTAGAGCGACCACCCTAGTTTAGGAAACACTGTATTACGGTAAATTGGTAATGACTTATAGCCTTGTAATTTATATTATTTAATAGGAGTTATAATTTATAGGCTTTCAAATTTAAAAAAATGTTAAGAGAAATTTATTGCGTCCCATGATATTTATGTGTGTATGTATATATATATATATACAGGGTGGGCCAAAAAAAGTAAGAAATCTCGTAAAATATTACGCTACGAAATGTTCTCACTTTTATTGGCCCACCCTGTATATATATGGGGCCATCAAAAATGACGTCACGCAAATGTTGACGATTTTTTTATTCCCCCCCCCCCCCAAAGTGTCACAAATAGTCACAAAAAGTTAGACCCCGACCCCTGCCTCAATGTAACGTCACAAATCTATGCACCCCACCCCCTTTTTTAAATTTCCCTCAGTGCACTACTGCCTTTACAAACCTTTAAGTTTAAGGAATTCACCTCCAGAAAATTGTATTTTTTCCCTGCTAGTTGTAGCAACAACAAAAAAATAATTAAAAAATCAGGTTTTTTTGCATTCGTTTAGCAACAGTCGTCTAAATATTTTTCTGGTGAATTTTGTTTGGGGATAACTTGTATTGGTAAAGTGTTCCTTGTTTATAATAAGTTAATTAAATAAATAAAACTGCTAAAAATAAATTATTTAATTATTTTCATATTTTAAATTTTATTACAATATAATTTATATGGTGTGTGTGTATGTAGGGGTGATTTTAAAAACAGAGTGGGCCTGCAGCGCTACAAAAAAGGTTAAGAACCCCTGCCCTAGCCCTAGCCCTAGTGCATTTAATTTACTAAGATCACACGCCCCCCCCCCCCCACCACCAGGGTCAATTATTTTTTTCCGTTCCATCCCACTTCACGGGGTACTCCTAATTCTATGATGCCCGTCTCCACATTTTGACATGAATTCTCCCGACTGTCAATGTCACTACACCAATTGTCTCCTCCTCTGTAGCGGCCTGCAACATGATCAGAATCAGAGGCCATTTTTCGGACCTAGCCTTTATGTACTATTGATTTCAGTGTTCGTAGTTTAAATAAAAATAAAATTATTATAATTGTATAAAATGTAAATGTATGTAATTTAGCGTTATTACGTTCAATTTTTAACTATAATATTCCGCTTTTAATGTGACGCCACAATGCTTAATCCCCCCCCCCCTCGTCACGCATTGTCACAAAAATATGCCCCCCCCCCCCCACAACCACCTTTTTTTCAGACGCGTCACGTCATTTATAGATATGTCCCCCCCCTATAATCTACATATTGTTTAATGTCAGTAGTTTTGTGAACATTATTGTTGTGTGACAACATTAAAACTATTTGTAATGATTTCTTTAATGAGACCAATGATTCAGGAAGTTTTTAAAAAAATGTTATGAATCTCATGAAGGCACAGAACGGAAAGAAAGGAATGTCAAAGGTCATAAGGATAAGTTGAAAGTGAAAGTAGCTACTACCGCTTTGAGTTTTGTAAACAAAGATTTTGGATTTCGTGTTCGGTCATTTTCTTTAATTCAATTTCGAATAACTAAAAATATTTTTTAAAAATTACGTCTGTGCTTAAGATTGATTGTATTGATTTATTGTTATGTTATATTATGGGACTATTGGTACAACTGCATGGGTGATTTTTATTGAATTTTGGGTGAAAATAACATTGGCCTCACCTAGTGAACTACTGCCGGTTTTTTAACACCCCCTCCTCCCATCGTCGTCACAAAAAGTTAGACCCGGGCCCCACTCAAATAAAACATCATAAGCTTTAGCACCACCAATGAAAATCCCACTGTCCTTAACAAACCTTTACATTCACCTCCCATGGATATCGAATGACTGCGCCGTGTCAGAAACATTTCCCTAGAACAGTGGTTCTTAATCAGTAGGCCCTATATGAAAGCACCCCTGGACAATGTATGGAACGGAAGACCCATAAAATTGTATCTGCTGCCATTGCCAGATGTTGCTGCCTTAAAAAAAAAAAGTTTTTATGCATGTTGATTAGATGCAGTAGTAATGTTTTTCTGGTGAATTTTGTTTGCCCACTACTTGTATTGGTAATTTTTTTTTCTAGTAGAAATTCTAGGGAATTAATAGAGAAAAAAAACTCTAACTAAATTATTAATTATTTTAATTTTAAAACAGTTATTATAAAATAATCTATCCAGGGGGGAGAAAGTGCGTGGGGTGGGGGGGGGGTCAGGAAATGTTTTGAAATTGAGAGAGGATGCAGATCTGCAAAAAATTTTAAAATCCCTGCTCTTGGACCCCCCTATCCAAATCACCAACCATTTTTCGTTTCATCTCAAGGCACATAGCAATTCTATTAGTCCGGTCTCCACATTTCAACATAAATTCTCCCGACTGTCAATGTCACCAAACCTGATTCTCCACTTTGTGCAACCTGTAATTTGATCAGAGGTCTCGCATACCTGTACTAATTCTCTCAGGGATTGTCGTTTTAAAATATAAGAAGCATAATTGTAGTATTAGTATAATTATAATAGAATAATATTAAAAATGTCTATAATTTAATGTGACATCACATCGCTTAAACCTCCTTCCCCCTAATCACACATGGTCACCCTGGGAATTACATTTCCTAAAATCAAAGTGCACACCCTTCAACCTGTCATTGTGCTGTGTGTGGTGGTGCAAATATCTAGAAAAAGGTGGTGTTAGGGGCAATTGCAGTAATGTTACTGGGTTTTACAATTTTCAAGATGCTTTGTCTTGTAGTATAATAAAAAAATATATATATAAAAATGAGGCATTTAAATGTATCCTGTATGTGGAAAGAAAAAGCATTATGAGGCAAAAGTTGGATTGGAGTGGTAAAATTTTCATCTAAAATAACAAACTACTCTCTGCAAAGAGCATTTTGGCAATTTGATAATTGCCTTGGGTTAGATAATGCAAGTTAGGAAAAGAGGAACAGATTTTAGAAGTGGTGAATGTCCAAATGTCATATACCCAGAAGTGTCTTTTGTTGGTCGTAAAAGGTGACTATGTAAAATTTGGTTGATATTCCTGGGATGGTTTAGAAATTTAAATAAACTTTAAATATATGTACCTGTTTTAGATTGCATGGTTACCTTCAAATTAATGCAAAACTTTTTTTAATTGACTTTTTACTCAGAAGTTAAGAGAAATGAATGAAATATTTGAATTAAAATCCAGACGATCAGTTATAGTGTGCAAAAATGGATGTGTAGCGAGCAGCAATCCATTAGCCTCTCAAGCAGGACTATGTAAGTTTCTTAATATAATTATTAATATATTAAATATATCTTACACCGTCACAATCTTCAAATCTATATCCTTTCCGTGTCCTTAGTGATAGCTTAATTTTTAATTGTTTGAAAATTTCTATTTTATTTAAGCATAATCTTCGATTTTAAAAGTATTCATTAATTTTAAGAATTTATTCGTATTCAGCAAAAAATTTATAATCATAACATTAAAAATGTGCCTAAGTGCCCATCCATAAATGATGTCACACTATTTTTTGCTCATTTTTAAACCCCCACCTCAAATTATCACAAATTAGAAACACAAATTAGACACTTTTATCGCACATTGTCACAGATTTGTTCCCCCCCCCCCTCCCCCTTTTTTTCTCCCTTAGATGTGTGGCATGTTTATGGATAACAGATTTGTTCAAAATAAAAAAATAGTTTACTTATCTTCAGCCCTAAAAATGAACTTTTTGATAAATATATATTAAAGAAATAGTTTAGCCGTCAGTTATTTTACAAGAACACAAATATCCTTGACAGCTATACTGAAAGATGGTGGTAATGCTGCAGATGCTGCAGTTGCTGTTGCAGCTGCTTTGAATGTAACTGAACCCATGTCAACAGGAATTGGTGGTGATGCATTTTGTCTTTTTTATGATAATTCCAAAAAGAAAGTGAAAGGACTTAATGGCAGGTAATCCCTTTTTGTAACTATGATACATAGTGAATTAATATAAATAACACACACACCTACAATTATTTCCTAAATTTGATCAACATAGTGTTATGTAAGCTTATTTCTTTCTCTCATTAAATTGAGTCGATGAAAGACTGCTCTACTTGAGGGAGGCTGATACTTTTTAAAAACTATTTTTCATAGCGGTCGAGCATCTCATTTAGCTACTCTGGAAAAATTAAAAGCTGATGGATATGATAAAGACAAACATTTCCCAAGCTTGCATGGTCATTCAGTAACTGTTCCTGGGGCTGCCAGTGCATGGGTCGATGCAGTGTCTGAATTTGGTAGTCAGAAGGTAATGGTCATTACAACTTTATTGTTGATAGAGTGAAAGAAAATTTATATATATTTTATTGGACAATATACATTTAAATGTGCACTTTGAAATAGTTTCTCTTTTATAATCCATAAAATCATTTGAAGGGGATGTAGATCAACATTTTTTAATATTGTATATAAATTTACACTAAAACTCCATAATCCTGACTCTTTAGCTAGATGTTGTCAGTAAAATTTGAAATCAAGAAAATTAATCAAAAACCTTATGTTCTAAAATAAAAGCTAATTAAATTTAAATAGCAATCATAGTTTTGCTAAACAGCTTAAATCCTGAAAATTTAAGTTTTGTATTGTTTGTGCTGTGCTTGTTTTGTTAAAATCTGACTGAAATGGCCTCGGTGATGAGTCCATCTCAACAGGGATTACATTTGTACATTGCCAGATCACAAAATTTAACATGTTCAGATATTTGGGTGTCTATTACATGTCAACACATTTGTTTCTATGTTTTTAGTACACCTACAATAAAATAGCAATCATTACTAAGCTAACAGGTCTTGTTTTTTTGTAAAATTATTTGTTTTCTTTCTTTTAATCAGCTTTCACTTATTGACATTCTCATGCCAGCTATTGAAATGGCTGAATCTGGATTTCCTGTACAAGATATTGCTTCAAGGTTTTGGGCATCTGGTATGATGTAGTTAAATTTAGGCTAACCATTTGCTGGTACATGACTACACAAATTCTCATTATCACTCATAGGCCATCAAGAATCTCTTTCTACTTTACTATGTGTGTAACAGCCGTAGTATCTCAGTTTCTCTGTATCTCTGTGTCTCAGTATCTTAGTATCTCAGTGTCTCATTGTCATTGCATCAGGCTCTCTTTTAGTCTTTTCTACATGTTTTTTGGCTCCCTATGCTCTCTTGACATGCGCAGGTTGCTGATAAGCACCTAACTTATATTTCATAGATATTTTTTTTCTGAGTTTGTCCTCAATCCTATTCCACAACATTTTCTTGATGCCATAATTAGGGCTGAGTTGGGTTGCTGACTCATATACCTGGAGATGCCAAGTACTTCACACATGGAATATATCAAGACCATGCAAAAAAAAACACCAAAAAACCAAACATATTTGTTAAAATAATGAAATAATTTTTTTACATTTTTACCTGGATAAATAAGTAATAATAGTAAACTGACTAGCCGTTGATGCAAAATTACATGTATGCTAAATGAAATTGCAAAGCTCTATAAACAATAATGTACTTGATGCGAATTTTGAGTGGATTTATCATTGCAAGATGCATATCTTTAGTCATGATCATGCCCCTTCCTATTCACATTTAATAGTAGGGGGCTAGGTGGCCAAGTGCTATAAACTGAGTCGATTCCCATGAAAAGCAAAAACTTCACCAGCACCCTGGGTGGTTTGGACTTATTAATCTTGTATGGCGGCTCATCTAAGAGTAGAAAAACTTAAAGATCAAACCCGGAGATGGAGTCCCGTAGGTGTTATGACATTGACACAATAAAAATTCTGACATCATCCTGTGACGTAGAACGCATAAAGAGCACAGTGAAACACACTGCTTGTCATCTAATGCATCCTGATCTATTTCCAGTAATTGGATCAATTATGCAAGGACTGAGTGAGGCTGATGAATTGAGCTACTCTCCCTCACTTTAAACAAAATACAGCTCAAGTAAAAAATTGCCTCTGTCGTCTTCGCATGCACAGGACAAACAGGACAATTATAAAGCAGTTAATATTTCTTTTCCCCTAGTAATAATAATAGTTAGTCTTTGTATGTTTCTGTCTGCGTGACATATTATTTTGTTTTGTCACTCCAGTGGTTCCTAAATTTAAAATTTTTGTGAATTTAGGTTTTCCGCGGCGGCTTATGACAAATTCTAACATCTACAAGATGTATGGGTAGGGTAAAGATAAATAAATTTTGAATGTAGGTAACTAAACGCCATCTAGGAAGCATTTGTAGGAGCTTCTGCAAACATTAATTATTCAAGGCAGTTACTGGTTTGCACCAGCCCCACTAGATGTCCAATGTCACATTGGATTGAAAGTGGAAATAAATTTATAGAAATCATGTAATATGCCAAGGATGATGCAACACATTTTGTGAACCACTGGGCTTTGCCAGATTGTGGAGAAACCCATGAGACTGCTTACTTTGATATCACAATTGTCTAAAAATAAATTGATTTTTTGGGGGTGGGGGTAATTAAATGGATGACTACTCACTTTATACATACATTCAGTTTTCACTTGTGTGTATCTAATATATGGATGGCTACTTACTTTATACATACATGCAGTTTTCACTTTTTGCTATTTGTTGGAACACATTTCTCAGTTCCTATAGATATTTCCTGAATTGTAATATCTGAACCTGAACAAAACACTGCGCCAGGCTAAGCCCTAGTCATATCCATTTGAGATATTGCTGATATTACAACCTGTAATGCACATTTTAACTTATTTTCTGGCCTATTTTTTTGCCTCATCTTTGAAAGATATGTTAAGATGTCATTTGTAAGTATTCCAATTTTTAGATTTCTCAAGACATTATTCAGTCATTTTACTCTTATTATTTGTATATTGTTTTCTCCATCTTTCTCCTTTTTTTGAGCAAACATGCAACCACAAATTATTTAAAACTGTAGGCAATCCTCTGTTTGAGATTCTCATTTCTTGCTCAAACAGGCCATTTACAAAATGCTTTGTGCAGTAAATAGATAGCATAAAAATGTGTCTTACATTTTCATTTTCCTATTTGTTAATATTATATTTACATTGAGATCTACCCAGCAATTACAATAAGGTGTGTGAAGGGCTACCCTATTGACAGCAAGCATTTAAGGAATGCCAGCATGATGCTCAAAAACCTGTATTGCAATTTCTGACCATGACATTTATTTAATTTTTAGATGATAGCTAAATAAAATTAATTTATTAGAACCAATTTTTAAAATATTCATTACTAAAATATATTTGTCTCATAATTAAAAAATTAATTTTGTTTCTTTTAGAACTATAAATTTATGTACGTCACCAATTTTTAGAAAGTAATTTTATGTTTTTAAGGATCGCAGTGTCTAAAAAGAAAAGAAAATATTCATGGGAAGGATTTGCTTTTAAATGGTGAAGCACCAAGGCATGGAGAATTAATGAAAAACCCGCATTTAGCAAACGTATTTAAAGTGAGTTGCAGAAAAATATGTCTTTTAATTTGTTTACAGCGGCAACATATGTAATATATAATATCAATGTTTTTTTTTCCTACAAATTAACATGATTTAATCTTGAAAATTATAAAATTTCATTATAAATGTATATTCAAATATATAACATAATTGTATCATGTGGAATTTCTGTAAGAAATTGAATGAAATTTGTATTTTTATATATAATTATATGTTTGGCTTAATTTATAAAATTTAAAGTATTAAAGGCTTAAATTTATGATTAATAACAGAATATGGAAACTTCAAGTTAATTATAAAAATAATGAATTGAGTAGTTATTTGCATCTTTACTGTTCCATGCCTTTTGTCTTAGTCTTGGGCAAAGCAAGATAGGACTTAGGCATGGGCTTGATTTGTTATTGGATAAAAACATATTTTCATAAATTGATATTGAATTGGCTTTAAAATATTCTCTCATCAGGAGCTAGGTTTGCATGGTAAAAAAGGGTTTTATGAAGGAAGAATTGCCAAAGCTATTTCAAATGCTGTTCAACAACATGGAGGCTTGATCACACCAGAAGACATGGCAGCCCATGATGCAACTAGAGATGATCCCATCAGCATAGTGTACAAGGGTTGTCGGGTGTGGGAGTTACCTCCTAATGGACAAGGAATAACTGCGCTTATTGCTCTCAATATTTTAGAAGAGTTTGATTTAAAATGTGAGTTTTGTTTTAAAAGTTTTCTTACTTTTTTTTCACTTTTTATAACCTTTGTACGTTCTCCATATATTTTTAGTTAACGTCTTGAGAAATTCATTAAGTTTAAATAAGTGAATTTTTAAAAAAAGAAACATTAAAAAAATTACATTTGTTATTTAAGCATAATTTTTCTGAAAAAAATTCTCCCATTTGTATAATGTCTTTCCATTTATAATATTCTCGCAAGGTGATTTGATCAATTAACATTTAAGTTATGTAAAACAACAGCCATGGGACATAACTCTGCAGCTTATCTTCATCATTTAATTGAGAGCTTGAGGCTGGCCTTTGCTGATGCACTACAGTATTGTGCAGATCCAAGCCATGTGCATATTCCTGTTGATAAGCTGCTTTCTAAAGACTATGCAGCTAAGCGTAGAAAGCTTATACAGCCTGATATGTAAGTCGACCAACACACCTTTACAGGAAACTTAAATTTATAAAAAAGTATTTAACCTATTTTCAATCATTATGAGTTGAAGGAATGATTAAAATATTTTTGTGTGAATCCCGAAGGAGAATACCTGAGTCCTTTCTTGAAACAAGTGGCCTTGACCTGCCACCCGGAAATGACACTGTCTACTTTACTACTGCTGACAAGGAGGGAAATGCTTGTTCTTTTATCAATAGCAATTACATGGGTTTTGGTACTGGAATTGTTCCTGAAGGTTGTGGATTTACATTACAGGTATAAATATAATGATATGCATATGATAATCACCCTGATTAACTTTTTTAAAATATACAATATATGAAAGACTTATTTTTTTGCATATTTTTTGTTTTAACTAGCTTGTCAATAATTCATCAACAGCAAAATGTTGCTTTGATTTATATATTGAAGTGTCCCTGTTAAGCTCATTTCTTGGTGCTGTAATTTTTTTGATTTACAGAATCGAGGTTATGGATTCTCACTGGATCCATCTCATAGGAATGCATTGGCTCCAAGGAAGAGACCATTCCACACCATCATTCCATCGATGGTGACCTCAGCTGATACAAGTAAGATTGAATTTTGTCTGTTTATGGGGTCTAACGCTATATCACATATGATCTGGGTATTGCATTTTTTGTGTGCAAGTATTGATTTTCCTTCACAGCAGGCAGTTAAATAGCATTCTGAAGTAAAAAAGGTGGGTTTTTTTTTTTTTACAATATTTAACTTTCATCATTAATGTATTTGTGTTTGCCAAACCAAACCCCTGTTTAAATCTAAAAACAGATGATCTGCTGATGAGTTTTGGTGTGATGGGAGGTTATATGCAGCCACAAGGTCATGTGCAAGTTTTACTCAACATGTTGGAGTTTGGCTGTAACCCTCAGACAGCTCTGGATTTACCAAGAATCAGTCTTGGCAGTGGAATGAGGTACTTCGCTAGACCAGTGAATTGCATAAATTTATACTTGTAATAAAAATGGTGTAATTTTTTATAAAGTAATTAAAGTGATTTCTATGCCTTTTTGTGTTTCTGTCTCAAGTGGTACTTGGTAAAAAAAATAAATAAATCGTAATTTAAAATATTTCTTTTCACAGTTCTGTATATACACACAGTGACCTCTTCAAAGCTGTGCAGGTAGAGGAAGGCATTGCACAGGACACAGTATCTCAGCTGACACTGCTGGGGCACAAGCCTCTGATTGTAACTGGTCTACCCAGGGCTAACTTTGGTAGAGGTCAGGTCATAAGCCAAGGTTCATGGTGGAGGGATGGAGTAAATCACTTCAATGTTGGAAACATGTACTGGGCTGGCTCAGACCCAAGGGCTGATGGACTTGTAGCGGCCTATTGAAGAAAAGTCTTTATCTGATCCATTATTCAACTGCTGAAGAAATTTAGAAAGCATCCACTCATTTTCTTACACAGATTTTATAGCCAAAAATTGTATTCCGATTTGAAAGATTTAAGTTTAAGCTAGATGAACATTGAGAGATTTGTTAAATATGAATTTTCTACTAACATTTTTACTAAAGAAAGCATATTTTTTGAATTTTAAGAATCCCCACCACCATGAAACAAATTATTTAAAATTTCAATTAAAATTTTACATTTCTATGCAAACTTAATGTAACAAAGCTTGTCACATAAGCAATGCAATAAAACATGTTAGCCCTATAAAACTTATGAACTATCTTATCTAAGGAACACTCTTTAAGTTGATTTTTTAAACATACTTTAACTGATTAGCTACCAGATTGAAAAACAGGCTATGGCCGAATTAAATTTAAGTCACATTTTTTTTATTTTAGGTGTATGTCCAAATTCAGCTGCAGTTTTCTTAATTATAAACATATTCTAATGATTAATAAACCATTTTGTAGGTAATTGAATGTTCTATAATATAAATTTAAAACATTTGTAAAGTTAAGTTTTGATAGGAAATTATTTATTGTTAAATTAGTATTTTCAATAGAAAAATAATAAAAATATATTGATGTGCCAACTTACGTATAAATTATAAATTTACGAATCATTTAAAGCCTTTTGGTTGTTTCCAAATAGTATATCCAATAATAAGAAAAATGCACCAAAGAACACAGAAATTGAAAAATATTTACACTTCCAATCACTTATATGCCTTTAGTAACCCTGTCACTTGTTACCGTGGTAAACATGTCCTATTTTGTAACTAGCTAGGAAATAAAATCAAAACTAATTAACATTTCGTTTTTTTTTAAATATTCTGCTGATAGCATGCGTTTTGAATATAAACATCTGGTCCGTAAATTAAAATATCGAAGCGAAACGGGAATGGAATAATATAAATATTTGACTCGATTTACTACGATACTAACATTGGCGCTACCAGCGGCTCGTGGCCATAACGGAAGAAACGCGAGCCGCTCCCAGCGGCTCATGGTAGTTAACCAGTTAAAGGAATGTGCAGCTGAAAAGCTTTTCAGTTAATGGAACAATAATCTTAGATTTTTAGTAAAATGTACCAGTTTTGAAAAAAGTTGTTTGGCTTAAGTTATGTGTTTCAAAACTACTATGTATACAAGAAAAAATATCTTGAAATAGCACAATTTTATAAGAATATGATTTTTTAATACATGAAATGATTGTTTATTGCATCAATAATTGTTATTGATTTTTGTAAATTTAATAAAAGCCATAAAGTTTGTCAAATTTTTGCATTTTAATTTTAAATGTCAAATTATCACTTGCAATTGAAATTGAATCTGTGAACAAATACTAGTTTTAAGAAAACAAGTTAAAAAATATTTATTCTTTAAAAAGAGTGAATTAAAGTTTCAATAGTAGATATAAGTGCAGATTTTAAAGAAATGGAAGACATTTCAGACTTTTGAATATAAAAAGTACAATGATTTAAAAAAAAAAAAAAAGTACTAAAATATAAAAATAAAAATTGTGCCCTTTAAACCAGCAAGGGACAATTAATAACTCATTATGGTTATAAAATATAAATAGATTTTGCAAGTAACATTTTGTTGCATTGACCTTTGCTTCAAAACAAGTACATTCAGAATTAAAAATTACATTGTATATTTATACTTTGGATAATATTTAAAAGTTCATATTAAAATATTTTTATAAAAATTGTTATGTAGATAAAAATTAAAAACAGGTTTACATCTTTTGGGAGTGGGGAAAGAAAGAGAGAGACATATTTTGATTAACTTACAGTGTATTTATTTGTAAATTCAATCACACATTGTAAAGAAATTATTTGGAGATGGCACAATTTTCACAATCAAGTTGCAATCTGATTATAACTATAAAGATATGATCACAAAATTGGCCTATATCAATTTCAAAACCCTAAAATATTTTATGCCTTCAAATGATTCTCAGTGGATATAGTTACATTTGTTTTTTAGGCATTGGCTTATGAAGAATATACTTTAATTCATACAATTATGACACTGAAATATCATATCTGTAAACTGTTAGCTTTCATCTAAATTAATTAATCTATTAATTCTTAAATTTAAAAATCAAGCTTTATATTTTCGCTGTATTCAATTTTATATAATTTAACATTAATAGTTAATATTTGAATGACAAGCTGATGAAATTTAAACAAAAAAAACAACAAATATAAATGAAATATGGTTTGGCCAACTGGATATATTTTTAGTATTTTATCTAGCTTTAAACTATCATACTAATTGGTTATAATTAATTATAAACAACATTTTCTCTTTATATTAAAAAAATTGTGCTTTTTTTATGGGATGAAAGATTAAACTTGTTCATTATAGGTACATGCCAAGTGAGTTCAAAACAAAATGTAAATATATGCATCAAAAAGTAAAATTAAAGGTCTAGGGAACTTCTTTAGCTTCTACAAAGTACAAAGGATAGAAAAAAATAATGAAGTTTTAATATTTTTCAAAAAGCCAACCTATCAATGATATAGGTGCTGGTCTCCTTATGCAACTGGTTGATATGAATTATTGAAAAAGGTAACATACAAACAAATTCATAAATTATTTTTTTTACAAAAACAATAATAGGTTATTAATAATTTCTTGAAAAAACAGTTTCAAATCACATTGGAAGTATAGCATGTCAACTTTTTATATCACAACCGATACCTAAATAAATAAAATTCTTAAAACAGTACATTCTTAAAAACACGAGACAACTTATACTTATTGTCCCAGTCTTTGGTATTAATATGAAGAATTGGAATGAAATAACTTGGTTTCAAGTTTTGCTTCTCCTTAAGTAGGATTTCTTTTGAACAAATAAATAACACACAAAACTAATTACACTCCATAATACACAAGCCATCTAAATTTCTATTTGAAATAATGGTTTACAGAAATGGAAAGAAAAATTTGAATTTTAGAACTTCAAATAATGAACACATGTATTTTATTTAAGTCAGTACTGGAAAACAATTTAACATTATTTTTCTTAGGTATCAGAATTGTGAAATTTATGTCTTTAGATAGATCTATTTTGCTTTAGAAAAGTTTATTCTCTAGTTTTCTTTCAAAATAATTACTTATAAAACATCACCTTGACTTTCTTACATTCTTTTTCTCAGATGACATAACACTTCCATAGATTTTCCCAAGCTATTTTATTTATGTCAGTATTCCATACGCTAAACCTCCTTTAAATACCCTATACCAATAATCCCTGTCTCCGATTGGTCTAGTCCAAAAATAGTTTATTTTCATTCATGAAGAGATAGTTCTGGATTGTTTTCTAAAGTTTGGTAATATAGATTTCTGGGCCATCTGCTCTTTTCTCAGTGATGAGCTGGATATTTTGCAAGTATTTTCCATGATGGTAAGCAGCAGCAGGTGCAACCATTTGTGCCATGTTGTCATCTGGCATAAATGTTGGATTGTGGAAGACTAAACTTTCTTCTGGCTTTTTTTTCATGGAGTCATCAGAGAGGTCATGCAGAGAGGTTGATGACATACTGCCTGAGGGGGTGGCACTTTTAGCGTAAGTTTCAGTACTGGACTCAGCACTTGTAGATGACTTGTCTGTGTAATCTGTCTGGTCTTGTGCAAAACTGACAAATACCTGGAATACATTTGTAAATCAAGAGTTCAAATTCTAAAGATAATAATGATTTATTTAATACAAAAATTTTTTGCAAGAATAAACTAAGGTAAAGAACATTTACTATAAAACCTTGGTTAATCGGTAATTAAGTCATAAATTTGAACATTTTGAAAATCCACATTTTCTACAAAATCAGGACATTTAAGTTATACTAAATTGTCCTTACATTTATTACTTTTTATTTTCTTATTATTACTGATCTAAGGATAGTTATCTTTGTTAATTTTGTAATAATCAGCTTTTGAAAAATAAGTACTAAAATAAGTAATGTATGTACATAGTAATTACATAAAATATGGGCAGTGATATTAAAATATGTTTTCATCATAGTTCTCTGAGTTAATTAATTGTTGATGACATCTACATCAATTTGTTTAAGAAGCAGAAAGTTAATGATTTAAAAATTTTTTGTGTCAGCGATCAATTGGTAAAGTTGCAGAAACGTACAAAGTCAAGTGTTGTTTGTGTCAGCGATCAACTGGTAAAGTGGCAGAAACTTACAGAGTCAAGTGTTGTTTGTGTCAGCGAGTAGTAATCAATCATTTTCTCATCTTGGGCCTGATGTAAAATGGCTAGTATATCAGCTACACTACAGGATGCCTTAGGAATCCTTAGTTCCACACTGCTGTGGTGTATTGCCTGTAATAATCAATGAAGTTTTATAGATACACTTTTAATAATTGAATAGACCAAGCATCCCTTTGAATGGGTTCTAATGATAACTTTAGCGCAATCAAATAAAACTGAAATTTAGTTTTGACTCCTCAAATATCTTTTCTCAGAATTTTATTTTTATATAGATCACTATTATATCAACAATTTAAAAGTTTAAGCATTGATATTTAATTTTTGATCACAAAAAATAAGACTGTCAAAGTTAAGTGCTATAAATGGACTTATTTGTGGGAAAAAATTTCAACCTTAATGACTGTGCCTGGAAATTGGTCCATAAATTTGGGTGTGATGTATTTCAATTTACTCTCTCCAGCATACATTATGACTGAGTAGCCATCACCATATCTAAAGCAAAATGCATACATTTTCTTAGCTTAAAAGGGAATTAGATTTCAAATGCATGAATAAAATTCAAGAATTTATTAATATTTTTTATCATTCACTAGCAACAAAGTCAAAGTGGCTACTAAAATATTTTGCTCTTTCAGTTTGTTATAATCTAGACTTTTTCATTCAGATAAAGTATTTATAGAGAAAGTATCCTATAATTGTATCAATATAATA